CATTGTTGTGAAAATTTACTTTAATCGTCACGCTTGGTAGATTGATTGGCGACCAGACATCTTACACATTTGACGTTGTTCCAGTCACCAGAGGATTTTACGTTTGGCCTAACGAGATGATTATACTGTCATCTGACAGAAACTGTAAGATTTTTCTGGCATTTCTCACAGACGCCTTTTCCAACATACACGGGAACTCAACGAAATTGAGTGATGAACTCTCGTGCCACCATACTCACAGAACAAATTACTGACCTTCGAAATCGGTCTAGCCGTTCCGGAGATTAGCCGGAACGAACAGACAGACAGACAGACCGACAGACAGACAGACCGACAGACAGACAGACAAAAATTTTAAAATTGTGTTTTTGTTATAAGTACTGTATATACTTTCATATGTATTTAGTAAAAAGCTGTTATTTTAATATTACAAACACATACACTTCAATTTTATTTATTTGTATAGATAATAATTTTTGTATAGAAAAGTATTTACATAATTGCAGAAATGAACATTATTTTAATCATGAATTTCATATTACGTAGACTTTTATGTTTGAGTATAGGTCTATTCACATATCTTAATTATTACATAAGCAAAAAGATAAATACTGAGCATCTGTGTTGTAAATTTGTGACGAACGGTATTATTTTTATGTCCACTAACACTATCAATGTAAAATATCCTTTACTAAAGAATTGACTAATTAACTGAAGACGAAAAAAAGGTCAGAACTGGCACATATAATAAAATCTCAATTACATGAAATCAACCTAAAACTGTTCGGATGAGACTGGAATTCTTTTGTGTAGCAAAACAACGCCAAGAGCCTCAGGCAGGAAGCTAAATGAAGAAAAACAAAAGTACACCATTAGGGGTGTTCCCAACCCACGACCAACAATACAACAGATTCAGACACATTTGCCGGGTTGAAAGATTGCTGCGCCGTCCTTATATCCCCTGCAACATTGGATGGTATTATTCGCCTCGAGGTCCTTTTATTAAAAGGAAAATTATCTCGCGAAAATTTTTGGACTTTCATCTACAAACGGTTCTTGCCCTTAGCGAACTATCTTAATGAAAAAGCCTTTTATTCGTATCTTTTGTTTGATTTGTCCTTTGAAAAACCCATTGTTTTATTACCGACAGAATAGAAGACTTGCTTCATTGTTATTAAAGGATGTTATATTATAAATTTCCAAGCATCGCAACTATGGTAAAATCCCCCCATGAGGCAATCTATGAGGTAGACCTATGTTCAGCACTGGACCTCTATAGGCTGTAATGTAATATTTTAAAGATGTGTCACTTATACACAACTTTAAAAGTTAAAAAAGTTAAAGTCACAGTCTGTATACGTCTCACTGCCGAGCACGGACCTCCTCTCACTTCTGAGAGGGTTGACACACATCTTTATAATGTTCGAGATCTGTCATCATTCAAAACAAAGTCCGAAAACCTTCAAAAAAAGGCTTCGCCTGGATATGATCTATAAATGTGGTGTTATTTAGATTTAAGAAAATCAAAGACCATTTCTTTTATCAGTTTTTCGTTTTTTTTTTTCAAAAATTGATCATATTGATAGATAGCTGTATCCTGAATGGGTCGGCTCGAGCTGGGAAGAACTATTATTGAATACAATGTAAAATAGCAACATAAAACTACTGTTTCTATGGCTATTGACGATAACTTTTATGGTTAATTGATCCTCATTATTCGACCCGACACGACAGCGATACGATACGTCAGTCTAAAACATCTGTTTAATGACATCTGTTAAAATATTATTCTCTTTTTAACCGACTTCAAAAAAGTAGGAGGTTCTCCAATCGACGGTATTTTTTTCATGTGTGTTACCTCAAAACTTATTTCTAGGTGGACCGATTTGTAGTTCCATATTAATTAGATCAAAATCTGATCTGTAGTTTTTGAGTTATTCTTAATAATGCGTATCTAATTGACTGCGACTACATTGATGATGTTCTCATTATATTTATATTGAAGTCGGTTGTACAATTTTTTTTATTTTACCATTTATATAGTTAATAGTGGCCCGTAACGATTTCTTTTCTGGCACCGATGCATATAACTGAAAATACAAGTAATCATGTTGGCAAGCTAAATGAAGTCGACAATTCAAGAGAGTGTGGTGCCTACATTGGTAAGACTCCAATAAGGCGGACGTTGCATCTCTGCCTTACCGATCAATCAGGAAACTAAAACTTGGTTGATTATACCTTTTGCAAAAACGGCCTAAGATGCATCCTTATCTTACCGACAAATGACATAACGCAATAACAAAACAGCTAGTGTCACTTTTATTTCAGGTCTCCGGAATAAAAGTGACACTTTGAAATTTTTTAATGAAACGTCTAGCAGCAAATGAAATGCATGAAAACCCTTTTTTTAAACAAAATGCCAATTAAACTATTTATTTTTAACCGTTTAAAATGCAATCCTAAGTTTCTGAATGAATAGTTTATAATTTAAACTGTTTTTGCACCTGGTATTAAAAAGACATCGAGTTACGAAGAACGAAACGTTTCTTGAATATAAGAATGGGCATAACATTTTGGCAATTTTGGATACTTAGTAATCAAAAATTTTAGCCACTTTTTCTCTAGTCATTCGTCTCCACTCAAATTCAAATATTTTCCCTTTCACTGTATCTATTTTAATAAAACCGACCACTTTTATATTCACACCCGCCCGTTTTGTATTAAATTACAGACAAATTTTACTACACTTTGTCATATTAATGATAACGAATTTCATTCACCTTGTTGTTATAATATATTGCTCGAGGTATAAAATGTATCATAATATGTGGCATCCTATGAAAAACTAATTAGTCTGTCCATCGGTACACCTGCGACAAAGTTGACGTGGAGTTATAGCGTTATTAATAACGGTGGTCATCAACCGGCGTCGGCGTAACTACCGCGAGGGAGTGTGATGTTGCTGATTTGTCACCAGAGATCGCTATTGAGCACAAAGGGCACTTGTCGCTTGAAAAACAAACAATGCACTGTTTGTTTTTGGTAGATGTGTTGGTTATCCGGTGTTAACGATATCGTAACTATGTCATGTTGATTTATGCTATTTGTGTTGTCGGTATCAATATTGGTGAAACAGCTCATGGTTTTTTTTATATAGAGTAAGGGTGACAAACGAGCTCACAGTTCACCTGATAGTAGGTGGATGCAGTGGACCATAGACATCTACATTTATCATCGATTAAGATTCAAAATGCAGATCCGTTGTCACCCCTGAGTAGTAAGATGGAATGCCTCGTTTGCAGTGAAAATGGTCTCCGGTTCTCTACACTCACCATACGAAACACAGCAGCATTAAGCTGCTATTTTACGCTGGTATTCTGTGAGAGCGTAGTCTTACCGCAGTCGAGTTGACCCATTCGTGCTACGACCATAATAGCTGCAGCGTGGCTCTACCACGTAAAAAAATCTCATTATGATACTAGGATTATGTCATTAACATCTTATCGTGAGAACTATGTCTAAGTACTCAAATTCATTGTTTTATTGCCATAGATCACCAATATCCAACATCCTCTTTAATTGCAAGTAAAATATAATTTTTATAATGCTTTATACGTGATAAAGTCTTATTTATTATGGCTGTAGCACGAATGTGTCGGCATTTCATCTATCATCACTTACAACAATTACATTTAAAACTATATAGTAGGTTAATTTGATATTGGAGCGATGCGTCACAAATTCAAGGTCAAAACCACAGAATAAATAATAGTACAAGAAATAAAACAAAATAATATCCTGAGCATAAATCATTAAAAAAATCATTTTGACGCAATACGTAATAGGACATTTAAATAACAGTTTTACCCTTTGCTGGTTTAACGCCCCAAGCGACTGACACGCGATATTCTCGTTAAAGATAACTATGAAACATCGGAAGATCGCGAGGGCATCGCAATAAATTGAGTGTCACCAGCATGTCAGCGCGAAACCCTGTTAGTACAATGGTTTTTAATTTCAAACAAATGAAACTTGATTAACTTTTCATATTTGAAACAGAATAGCATTGCCTCATTCTAAATTTATCAAATTAGTATTAGAGTGATCATCAAGCAATAAGTATTTTCAGGAGTTTCGAATGAAATGTAAATATTTAATGTGAAATTTAATTACCATTTTGACGGTCATTATATCTAATTGTATTATTTACTTACTATTTAATTTCCATAACATTTATTAACAAACTTTCAATATATTATACCTTAGACATCGAAGAAAATTGCGAAAATTCAACGAAACTATAAGTGTAGCTGTGAAGAAGTATCGTTAATAAATTATGTAATTATTATAAAAGATTGTCCAACACATTTGTGTTCACGAGCCCTCGCGTAGAGGATTTTTAATTAATACTCGACGCCCGCCATGTTCAGGAAATAAATCTTAGTTAATGTCCCTTTAGTCTGGTCAGTTGGGCCCCATGTGCAGCACCGGGTTGCACGTCGGTAGATGTAAACCAATCGATTCAATATTAGGCTCGGTTAACGGTCTGAAATTGCATTACTGCCATTACTGTCTGCCTGTCAGTAAATGGTTGCAAATGCATTTAATAATGCAAATTGTGACATTGTATTACAAAGTTCGCATTACATAATAAAAAAAACATATTATTGTTTTATTTGTATAACGATTTTTTTTTTAACTAAAACCAAACGTCTAAGTTTATGTGTGGGCGAAAATCAACTACTACTGCGGTTAATAATAATACAGGTACTTATTCTAAAAAAGAACAAATAAAAATACTAACGCTAACTTGTACCAATGCTTATTTTTTTGCATTTGTATATAGAAGACAATTTTTAATATTATGTACATGTTGTGTTCAGTATTCAAGAAAACAGAAAGTAAAAAATTGAATTAAAAATCCCGCCCAGCCCCTGAATATACTAACTCACTTTATTAATTGATTATGATAATCCATTATTTCTTTCTTTTTGTTTCAGGAATGCAACATTCCTCGAGCCCCACCTTCAAGGCATAAGACACCGTGACAGTCGAAGTTCTGACTCGGATCACGATGAGCGCTCTACTGAGGACGATGAGCGAGCCCTTATTCATAGCTCACCACGCTCTAGACTGCCCCCACCACCTCCACCGCCGCCCGATGACGAACCTCCTCCGATGAAACCTCGGGAATACTTCGAAAGACTACAGAGTCGAGCTATGAGAGAAGCACAGGATCGGAAGCCGAGACGCGAAATTAAAGAAGCTAGTCAGCTGTTTCCACCTGTTGATGCTGATGGCAGTCTAGGTGACAGTCTTAGTCAGGTAAGAAAAATATGTCAATAATGATTTTATTTGGAAATTCTGCAAGTTTCCTTACTCTACTGCCTTGCAACATGTCACAAAATTATTTTTTTTCGGAATTCCAGCTCAGTAACTAATAGATCATTTTTAAGACAACTATATCTTTTTAGGATCAAATCTCAAATCTAGAACTTATTTAATATAATTATATTTCTACCATCATATGGTGGAATAGGGTAACAATTTCCTACATAAAACCAATAATTTTATTTTCAAAAGGAACATTTTAAAATAACGAAATGAAACAAAACGGGTGCATTATAAAACGAGCAAACAGAACGTAAAGAGATTCTTTGCATTTCTACGACAAAGTTTAAAAACTTCCATTCATGAAGAGAACTTGATTCCGGGCGACTAATGAACCGTGCCGTACCTGGTTAGTTTCGCAGACTGTTGTATTTTTAGTTCCCTTTTTATAGTAGCTAGCCTGTATTTGCATGCTATTTTACCTGAATTGAGCGTAGTAAATTTTGTTTTTGCAATGTTTTGTATCAAAACTTTTAAATTTATACCACTCGTTTTAACTTAAGTAAGTCTCACTTATTTCTCTTCCATTATAGCAATAATAGAATTGAGTTATGTTACATAAACGCAATAAATTCCAACAGTAGACGTAGAATTAAATTTGCGGCTCTCAATACGAACGAGCGATTCGTGAAGAAGCGCGCGTGGTTCATCTTGAATTTATTAAGTTATCGAAAGGTAAACTGATACCAATTTACAGTATAATGTGTGTTATAAAGTTTTATACTTTTTCTGTTATTTGTTATTACATTTTTTATATCATGGTGGTAGGACACCGGTTCTGCCTAGAACTCTTTGCGGGTTGATACACTCAGTCTTACTTATTTCTTCTACTTACCTGTTTCTGCCGCAGCTCATATATGTTACATGGGGCACATGCCTCTTCTTTTTTTGAGAAGAATATGGAGCAAGAAGTCCGCCACGCTGTTCCAGCGTGAATTTCGCATGTCCTCAATTTATTTTTATTCCTAAGACATACATTTGCTTGTTTTCCGTTGGCGGTGAACGTAGAGTAGATTTCTTTAGTTGTATACACAATCCAACAAAAAAATGAAAAGTACTGTAACAGCTCACCATATCATAGCTCAGGCAGGCCACAGACCTCCTCTCATTTCCGTGAGGGTTTAAGTACAAGTAAGTTTACGTCGCGCTGCCCTAATGCGTGTTAGCGGACTTCAAATGTTTCAAATGTTTCCCAGACATGTAGATTTCCTCACGATGTTTGACTGAAAGTGGTAAATCAGCACTTGAAATTGCAAGTAAAAATTTCTTCATTTTTATATTAATATCTTATTATAAGTTACAAAGCTTATCAAAATGAAATAAACAGTACACAGTGGGTGGGTTCGAATTCAACATTCGGCTACACTACAGTAGCCGAATGTTGAATTCGAACCCACCCATACCTCACACAAGCATTAAGACACACGGTAGTGTATAAACCAAGTTCAGAAAGGATCAGGCGACACACCAGCTGTGTATATTTACACAAACCATTTAGAGCCTCTTTCGAACCGCCCTGTAACCCAAAAACAATTAGGCTTACATCCGTGTAATAATAAGTATGTAAGGAAAAACTTGATAGTTTGTGTATTTATTTAGATTTATAAAGGAATAAAACCTTTATCAAAAATTAATGATAACATCCCTCATAGACATACTCGTAAATGTTGATTAGAAATGACTGCTCCGTTATTGTCGGCTCCTGCGGTTGTGGTGCTGAGGCACGCGGGTTCGAATCCCGCACGGAACAATATTTGTATGGCCTTCCAAACTTTTTAGTGAAATACATTCCTGCAACCAATTATTGGTGTACCTTTTATCGGTTTAATGCTGCATTAACTTTTTTATTAATTTTACTTACAATATTCAATACGTGAAGCATTTGCACTTTAAAGTTAATTTCGCGCCCAAATCCAAGAAACGTCTTGTGTTTTCTATTGTTTTCACTTCATTTACCCCAACAGTATTACAGACGCATTTGTAGGCATACAAAATGCGTCAGTTGCACTCACAATGCACTTACGGACGGTGACAAGAGGACACTCGAGGTGTAATACTTCGCAGTCAATTGCGGGTGTTGTATGTACACTCGAGAGCCCCCAAACCCCTTTCCTCCATTGTCGGCAGATGGTTGCAATACTCGCGTAAAACGATGAAGACTTTGTTTGTATTCTTAAGTGCCAATATTCTACTAATAACTCGCACTTAAACGCTACTACAGAATAAGCACATGTCATAAAAAGTGGTCAAATTAAATATTTTGTACAACCGACTTCAATATAAATAAAACGAGAACATCATCAATGTGGTCGAAGTCAATTAAATACGCATTCTTAAGGATAACTCAAAAACTACTGGTCAGATCTTGATCAAATTTATTTTCAAATAAAAAAGTATCATCAAAATATAATGACATCAAGCACCTTACGCTTTAATCACTGCTTTCTTATTTTAAACTTATTGAAAATTATTTTCTACTTTTTAGTTCGGTTACCTACACACTGTTTTTTTAGTTTTTTAAACTATTATTTATTTTTAAATTGATTTTACGATGTATGTAAAATTGCATTAGATTTCCCCTAGTTTAATAGAAATTTATATTGTCTCCATTTTAAATTCATGATTTAAAACATAATATTACATACCCAAGTTCAAATGAAATGGTCCTAGAAACTTTATTTTTTATATTGTGGGGCAGATACATATGCATCTTTTAGAATAAAACAATTGCTTATACACTTCGTTTAATTACACAAGTTCAAAAATAAGAGTAATTTTGGCTTACATTTAAATAACTTTAAGCCGTAACATTGCCCGTTTATTTGTCCACAACGGGGTGCGAAAAGTGAAAGGTCCACCTTGATATAAGGGCCCTTATACACTTATACCTTGCTCCCACATTTAATTTATAAAACTCATCGCTTATCTAATCCTTTTTCCAATCATAAGCTTTATGATCTGCTATTCTTTCTCCTTCCTTTTTATTCTTTATTAACTAAAATTATTATTCTCTACAAGATCCACCCCGACTTCCCAAGGGTGATTTTTGGATCTCTACAACAGCACCACCTACCGGGTACAAATGTAAATTTAAACCATCTAGGGACCCATTCAAATACACACAAAAATTTCACAAAATTGATCGAGCCGTTTTTGAGTTTTAGGGAGAATAATGGACAGCAATTGATTTTTATGTAAGTATATAGATTATTAGAAAGATAAAGAATTAATTGGGTGACTATATTTAATTATGACGTGTTAACATAACAAGAACATGCAACAATACTACTAATGATAAGAGGGGCTATTGTCAAGCCTATGTACACGTCACTTTACAGATATCATAAAGGTTAATATTCATTACTACATTTACTGTGTCATCGAGTCGACGATTAACCCTCAAATGAATGTCCCCATCCCGTTGTAAATTGCCTTTTGTGGCTCGTAAATGACACTTGTGAACTACTTTTACAAATTTAGATTGTAGAATCATGTAAACGTATTATTGTGTGTTACTTTGGAAGTTACTTGTGTTTTTTTAATACTTTTTGTTTGATAATAAAGTTTGTGCAGTTGTGACAGCTCCACAGTAAGTGAGTAATATACGTTGTAATATTTCTCAATTTTTAACCAGATGCAATGGGCATAAAGGATGCGCAAATACATTGTGTTACTTCCATAACTCTTAGTTTAAAATATTGTCAGTTATATCTAATAAGCCGTCAAGTCGAAAATTATTACAAAGTGCAAACATACTTCCACATTGTTTTGCCAAACCTTCATTTACCAATCAAACCTACACACAGTTATTATAAATAAATACAAAGGTCACTATATCGTATTTAACTTTTATTTATCCATAATTTTATCTATGTACCAAAAAGCATTCGAACTTTTAGCCGGCACGAGGCGATTATCGGTCTACGCCAGCACTTCCGTCTTCGCCCTAACGCCCTCCAATGGCGGGCTTTAATCGGTGCAATTAAAAAAAAAAAGGTTCGCTTTTCGAGTATAATTTGCGTCCATTGCACCACATTGCATTCGTTTACGCTCAACAATAAATCCTTTCACTCCTATTTGTCTTTTGAGAACTTTAATTGGACGACAATAAATTTAGGGTTTGAGTGTATCCTTAATATGTCTGGAAGATACAATCTAGTTTTATTTATTTTTAGCCGACTACACAAAAAGTTTTAGAGAAAGTTTCTTAATTTGACTGTATTTTTTTATTTATGTTACGCGGTATCTGCGACTATTGAAATTCGTTAGTGATTGATTGATGATTCTTTTTTTTATTAATAAGCTATGCCTCAAACTACATCCCAAACTACATTTAAATTAGAAGTACCAATTTTTTTATTTAAGGGGGAAAATAGGGGATGCAGTTGTAATGTAACTTTTAGGCGACATTCTTGTGTTAACTTAAACTTGTAATATGGCTAAGTTCATTTAAACGTGCAAAATAATTAATCTTTTCTAAAAAGTGAAACTAAAAAAAACTAAAACTCAAAAAACTAAAAAGTTTTTGAAAGTCGGTTTTTACTAGTTTAATTATATAAAGTCAAAAATAAATTGATGCATACCTATCTTTAAAAGGAAATTGAATTGAATTCTAGCTAAATATATTTCTAATTATCAAATGAAAGCTTTAAAAGGCTTTCCGTACTAAAATCAAAATTTTGCCATACAGGCATCATAAATTTCAAATTAGATACTGAGTTACATTATTTTATACGTCCGAAATGTTTGTTATATTCGAGTGACAAACGAAGCAATAGTCTACCTAAATGTTACTGGATACTGCAGCCCCTGGGCGGGCACCTGCATGTACTGCTACTGCCTCTCTTACTATTCAGATTCAGACCGAAGCAGTGCTCTTCGTGCTCTAAGAAGATATCTCCCCAGCGATGTGATTATGTAACTCCCGTGGGTAT